TTTAATAAATGTTAAGGCTATTATGTCAGTCTGCGTGCCGTGTAAAACTGCAAAAAGTATTCAGTCTCAGAATTTTGTCCGGCCATCGCACGGCGATTTTGCAAATCGCGCGGACGATCAAGTGGTCGAGACTCGAGCGATTTATCTTCGCTCGAGCGCGTGACCATCACTGGTAAGCACGTGCTCCATATCAATTATCGTCCACAAGTGAGTAAAGCGACCGCGCCGAGCGAAGGAATCCCGTGTGAATCGACAGCGGGCCGTTTCTTCGCTCGCAACGCTACATCGACGCGGGAAAAGAAGCGCGAGATCGCTTTTAATTTAACGGACCCCTCCCCCGACACCTTTTGGACGGCGACGAGCACCACTCGCGTGCACGTGAAGACAAGCTTTATACCGTTGCAACAAATACTCTACCGAGAACTTCGAGCCGCTTATATAGAGACGCGTGTGATCTCATCGTTGGCATCTTTTTCAAGCGGAAAAGCTGGAGCGCGCGAGAGGGAGCAAGAGGGGACGTCCTTTCGTCGTATCGTCCCACCAGACGCAACGATGCAAAAAATAACGTCGGAATACAATCCAAACCGGATTTCATTTCAACAATTACGAAGTCAAATTCCAATCCGATTTCAACGATTCCTTTAGAATCCATTTTCCGATTTGACCTCAACAATTTCGAATTCAAATTCCGACATGACTTTAATAATTCCGAATCCAAATTTCAATTTGACTTCAGCAATTTCCAAGCCAAATTTCGATTTAATCTCAACAATATCGAATCCAAATTCCAACTTGACCTTTAAACAATTCTGAATTAAAATCCTGATTTGGTCTCAATAATTTCAGATCCAAATTCTGATTTGACTTCAACAATCTCCGATTCAAATTTCGATTTAACTTCAACGATGTCGAGTCCAAATTCCAACTTGACTTGAATAATGTTGAATTCAAATTTCGATTTGTGTCTTCAACAAAATCTTAAATACAAATTCCGATTTGACTTCAACAATTTTGAATTCAAATCCTGATTTGGTCTCAATAATTTCAAATTCGAATTCTGATTTGACTTAAAAAATTTCCAATTTGATTTGAACAATGTTAATTCAAATGACGATCTGTCTTCAAGAATTTTGAGTCGAAATTTCGATTTGTCGAATGCTACGGGAACGAATCGTCGAGGAAACTTCCTCTTCATCGACCGGCAACAGCATACTGGCAAGAGCAAACAATCGCTGTCGCCAGCGCTACGAACACGTTCGAAGGAATCGACCGTTTTAAACACGCGAGTTGCAACTTGGAACGGTATATACAGATAGACACGGGGGTATAGATATGTATATATAGGGTATAAGGTCGACCACGCGTATCACGTAACGCAAAGGGACACGAGTTTCGCTGGTGACGCGTTGCCAAAAGTTTCCGCGGATGAAACGTTATCGAGGATGACGACGACTCGAATCACTGTGCTCAGCGAATCTCCCTGACGCCACGTTGTCTGCCGCGATTCAAACGTTGGTCTCGTGCTTCCTCCACGAGGAGATTTCACCGCTCGACGCCAAGTCGCGCCACGTTGCGCAAATGTCGCTTTTAAGGGAAGAACCGGCTATCACATTTATCGTACGAACTCACGATTTTTAACGTCTGCCGCAACATATGCACGGCCCACGGTGAGTGAAAGAAAAAAGTGTTTTGCACACTCGCCTCCTAATTCTTGTTGGAGTAAATTTACTCAAGAGAGAAAAATAAAATTTTGTCGAGTGTCACATTGATAATATATCTTGCTTTTGCTCGTGACGATATATTCAACAAAAGCACATGTGGCAGCGGTCTCTCCCTCTCTCTCGTGCAAGATTATTTTTCGAGCAAGATAGGAAACGCGAATAATTCTTTTACACACACACATACATCGCGCACGTGTAATATACCCACATGTTAACTGCACGCGATTCGACGATTCGCTCTTTTCAGACTGCTCGCCGAGCTTCTCCCCTCATTTTCGCGCAACAATCGCAACTAATTAGTCGATATCCTCGACCTCGTGGCATTTATCGAAGAGGCCGGCAAGCTTCCGGATATCTGGCTACATGCAACCGACACATCGTACTCCTCTCACACGGCTTTACTCCTTACTTCTTGCGTAACATCTCTCACTCTTTCTCCCCATTCTCCCTCTTACGAGAATGTAACGTAAACTTTTGCGGATCAGCTACTGTTATTTTTACGGTAGAAGAGCGTCTCTTTCTCTCTTCTTAGCCGCGAGAACCTTAACGCAACCTTCCCGTAAACCGCGTGAACTGCTGCCGTAAACTTTTGCGGCGATCAGATGCTCCTGTCGTTTGTCGGCGCGACTCACGAGAAGGAGGAAATCGACGTTAGTGGTTTGGCGGCGGATAATAAAACGCGCGTTGGCGACGATATCGTTCCTCGCACAGACGGCGTTTTGCGCCCGTTATCGCGGCTTCGCAGTTATTACTGCTGTGCCGCACCGCGCCGCACTATTGCACCACCGTCATCGTCATCGTCGTCGTGTGTAATCACCGAGGCGATTACGCTCCATCGGAGATCACGACGGTGCTTACGTTCTCGCCACGTGTTTCCAATAAAATAGGCCGCGACGATGCGGCGATCGCTCGTATTGTCGCGATCGCGATCTTTCCTACCGGTCGTTTCGTGCCGGACACGTTCGGCTCTTTATCTGCTTTAATCGTCCGTACGCGAGTGCACTCTCTTATTATCGGCTTCCCGCGATAATACCGAATGTAAGTCGACAAGGTGACTCTCACTTTCACGACCCTCTCGCGGGAACTGATCTCACGCGACTCTACACGCGAAAGTCACGACGATGTCACGGCGATGAAGCTTAACGGTGTTTATGTTATTAACCCCTTAGAGCACTGCAGTCGCGTATACACATTTTTAATCAGCGATAATCGTTGCAGTGGCCTGCAAGCATATATGTATATTTGCTCAGAACAAAAATGATCAAATAAACATTGGTCATACAGAGCGTTCCGCGTTACTCGGAACTTTGATCTACAATGTGCTCTTTGCTTCTTGTTCTCTGTCTTTTTCTGGTTTAAAGCTTGATCAATGTGTTATTTGCTTCCTGTTTCTTTTTTTATCTCTTTTTTACTCATATCTTAAGCTTTAAGTCATAAAAAAACAGAAGACAAGAAATAGAACGCAAAGAGCATATTGTAGATCAGGCTTTAGTCAGAAAGAAATAAAGAGGGAGAAACAGGAAGCAAAGAGCACATTGTAGACCTGAGCTAAGAGTTAAGAGGTATCAAGGCATACTAGTATCTAATCTTTAACACACTAGCTATTAAACGTCATACATGTATGACAACAATTTTTTTTCTATATTCAAATTATCAAACTACACCTGATTTACACAATCAAAAGATAAAAGTATTAATTCGCACATACCTAATCCTAAATATTGGTGGTTTTTTTCATGTTTATATACGAATATTTATTTTTTAAACATAGAATATATGTACATATTCAATATATGTATATATAGTATATATATAGTATATATATATATATGTATATAAGATATGTATATATTTTATGTCGAAAATTTGAACATTCGTATTTAAAGATGAAAATAATAAAGTCCAGGATTAGAGTTATTATTTTAACGAGTTTACTTAGTAATTGTATATTATTAATTATTATTCTTATCATTAATTATTATTATTTATTTTATTATTTGGTGTTCCAATTATATTAATTTTATTATTAATTATATTCTCTCTCTCTTATTGCGTAAATCCGTCGGTAATGATTCTCAATTTTGATAGTGTTCCCAACTTCATTGTGTTTAAACCGTTTTATAACTCTCTATATGCGTGTCCGGGCATTGGTACTTTTACTTTACGTAACAAAGAATACATAAGATGGTCTGTGAGGAGAATCCTCTAAATAAGGTGCGATAGTGAAAGTGTCAAAGAACTGTTTACATATCCGAGAGCAATTGTCAGTTTTGTTGCGAGGACTCGCTTGTTTATTTACATTACGCTTAAATTCTGGTTGTATTAAACCATGGTTTACCCATGGTAAACACAAAAACGCAAACAGTAAGATGTAAATAGATTGACCAATCACGATCGATTATTCTTGGAACATATAGAAAACAATTAAATATTCTTATATTGCGTATGTATGTTTATATTCTCTCTACCGTAATAAGTATTATAATATTTATTAATATATTTTGATTTTTCCTATTTAAATATTATTCTCCTTATACTCCAAAAACAATCGACTGTGATTGGTCAATCTGCATACTGTTTACATTTTTGTGTGTACCTTACTTTGCGAGTCGATTTTCCTTTGTCAAATCTCGAATGTGTTTTAAATAGAAGAAGTGCATGTGTGATAAAAGAGAACGCGCCTGTTCTCCGTTTTTCCATGAATTGAAAAAGAACATTTCCCAGCTATGCGGAACACACGGTACGATGTATTGCCAATATTTGGGAAATAGAGAGAACGCGACCATTCACGCGTTATTCAATTAGAAGCGGTTACGTTAAGAATGGGATCGAATTCGATTGCGGGTGTGGATGCGCAAAATAACGTAAAAGCACATTCGCGAAAATAACGATCGAATACCCGCTTAACGATGGTAATAAAAACGTTAGGTTAGGCTGGGCCGTTATTTCCCTACGTGCTGGTTGTCCGCGTGAGCTCTGAAGCGGCCACGTGTTACGATAATTAAGCAAAGTAATCGATAACCCGACACGAATCAACAGCAGCAACGTCCGACGGTGCCGCGGGATAACGTAACGTACATGGTGCCGGAAAAAAATAGAGCAGAAAGGACGAGAGCGAGGCGACAAAGGAACGAGTCAACGTACGAAGTGAGCGTGATGCTCCGTATTTATAAGTATACACACACACACACATACACAGTGAAGAGAATCGTTAGAGGGGCGCAGGCTTACCTTGATTCCGAAGCGTGATCGCGACTACCCACGAATCCTCCACGACGGCGTCGTCGTCGTCGTCGTCAATTCATAAATCGATCTCTCTCGTCTCTTATCTCGTGTCGCGAAGGCGCGTAACTCTCTTTCTTTCTCGCTCACTCTCTTTCTCTCTCGACAGCCGGCGGCCGGGACTCTCGGTGATTTGATAATACAACCAACGAGAAAACGGCACGGCACGGCGCGGTAGGAAGTTCGCGGCGGCGCGTTATCTTAACGCAAATCACTGTGAATTATGTACCGGTCGCCTCAGGGTAGCCCGCCGTGTCGCCGATCGATCGATTCTCTCGCACTCGATTCGCACGCACGTAGAATAGAACACGTAGTGACGCGCGCGGAGGAGGTTAGGTCTCGGGTGCAATGAGTACGACGAACAGCGAGCCGTAAAGCAACGGCACGCCACGATTTCGGCCGCTACGGTCGCCGAACAGCCGCGCGCACGACGGCGCTCTGACGACGACGACGACGCGATAAAGCGCCGCGGAACGACTCGAAAACGCCACGGTGTATCCCGCGTGGCTCTCTTTCTCCCTTTCGGCTCGCTCTCTCGTGACTCCACCACGACCGTCTTCTCCGGGTATCGACCGGTCGGGTCCTACGGCGACGAATTCGCGCGAACTTGACCTCCCACGGCGAGGCGAAGCGAAACGAAGCGCGCTAACACGCAGAGATCGCCAGCGCGAACAACTGCCACGACGGTGGAACGCGCTAGGGACGACGTGCGGCGTGTAAATGACGCGGAATATGTCGAAACTTTCGGCCAGGCACTGTTATGTGGCGCGACACTCGAAAAACACCATGTAGCCTCTTTCGAAAAACGAACACGTCGTTTATATCCTCCTCGGCGATGACGACGACGACGACGACGACGATGGTTCGCGTGATTCCGACACAGCTCCGAAATGTAAGGTACTCGCGAAACCGTAAAAATCTTTTAAACTCGGCGCGCGCGCGCGCACACACATCACACACACACGCTCTCACTTACGGAGCAGATATAAACTTCCTACCTTTCGAAGGCTATGGTGACGCGCTATTATAGGCCATGACGCCGCCGGCACACATCCTCCTTGCAGCACCGGCGAGCGCCGACTGTCTGTACCGTAGTCCCGCGCGCTTTCGCGACCAGCATCTACGACGAGCGTACGACGGGCGACCAGCTGACCGCCGTGAAGCCCGTGCCGAGCTGGCCGTGGTGGTGCTCCTCCGTGCTGCTCCGTACGAGTCGGCGGCGATCACCGGCGAGTACGTGTCCGTCGCCGCGTCCGTGCCGCGGTTCCGACGATGCGATTACGTTGACACACCCGATGCGACCAGCACGCTGCATCCGGAGAGGGAACGCCAACGAGCTAGAGCACGCGCGAAATATCGCCCCGCTGGAGAGCCGCGCGCGGTTCCCCCGGGGAATCGAACGGAAAAAAGGGGGTAAAACCGGAAAGGAGAGGCGCCGACGAGTCGACGAGCCGACCTCCGCCGTCACTCTGTGTCGCGGCCGTCGTACGAGAGAGCAGCACGCGATACCGCCACGTTCGCCGCACAGCGCCACCTAGCGGCGGCTAGATGCTCTAGTTACCGACGGTTATCCGCTGATCTTACCGCGCTGAAGCGAGCAGTTGTGTCGGTAATAGCGTTTCCTGAGTCGATAAATGATCGAACAATTATCGTCGATGGTATTTGATATTTATATTAAAATTAATTTTTACAAAAAAATAACACATTATTTTCTGATATTCAATGTAATCAAAATATTGTCAGAAAGGAATACGTGGAAATACATTGAAATATCTTAACCTATAATTTAGTCTGAATAGAGCGTACTGAGAAACTTAGAATTGTTCAAAAAATATAATAGACAAGAGCAAAGTAAAAATGTCAACACTCACTCGAATTGACATTCAAAATTCAGCTATGTATTCGAAATTTTTTACTTAGGAATGCAATAGAATGTACGGAACATCGATTTATTGGCCCAATAAAAGATTAGTTTATTTCGGTTAACCATTTACACTTGATCACTAATCTCACTCTCTCTCGAGTGTTGAATATACATTTGTTCCACTGAAGGTAATAGAAAGTGTTGGTAACATTTACACTCGACATGTCGTTGAATCACTTTTATTCACTTTTTGCAGCCTGTACTCTCAATCTTTAATCATTATTACATCAGCAACGCTGGAGTACTGCACGTGCACTGAGTGACCATATATGCCATACGTGTATAAAAACGTGAGTGTGAACATCATATATAGCCATATGACATACATTATTATTACTTATTTTGGTATATACAGGAATATAGCCACTTTGGAAATATAGAAACATTGAATAAATAATTTTTTTACTGAGAGCATCATAAATTTCAATTTTATTATTTCATTAAATACTAAAATTATTGTATAATGTTATTATGTTTCTTTGGCCTTTATTTTTATAAAAATGTATAAAATCTTCCTTATAGCACAACATACAATCAAGGATATAAAAAAGTCAGCAATACTGACAAAATGTGTGGAATTTGGGCACTATTTGGTTTGGACACAGAACCCTTGACCTGTATCTGTGAGAATTTTGACAAGATATCGCATCGTGGTCCAGAAGCTTTCAAGATAGAATTTGATATCAGAGTCAAGGTATGCATTTTGAGTTAAAATGTTTGTGTCATTTATTGCATACATATTTTTCATTAATTTTTATCTTACAGAATGGATATCTGGGATTTCATAGACTGGCGATTGTTGATGGCCTGTATGGAATGCAACCAATGAGAATTTGTAAATATCCACATCTATTTCTTCTGTGCAATGGGGAGCTGTATAACTGGAAGAAAGTAATACACTCATCATCTAATATTTAATGTTTACATGTATTATAAGAGGAACATTATGAAGTATCACATATTTGATATTGCAGATAGGGAAACAATATGACTTTGAATATACTACTAAGTGTGATGTAGAAGTCATTATGCACTTATATGCTCACGGCGGTGCCGACTTTGTTGCTCGATCCTTGGATGGTGTATTTGCATTTTGTTTAATGGACATCGAGAAAAGAAGAATTCTAATTAGCAGAGATCCATATGGTGTTAGGCCACTGTTTAGATTACATTCAGATGATGGCCAATTAGCCATCTGTTCAGAGAGCAAGGTATTGATATTAACTCCTTGACTGTGTGACGAAAATGAGACTTCTGTGCCACCAGTGTGTGAAAAAAAGTTTCTTACATTTCCACTGATTTTAAAATTAAGGTTTTCAAGGTCGCTGAATCTGAATACGACATCAGTGGTAGAACTATGTAAAAAATAGATGAAGAAATGGAAAAAAATTTCCTGTCTATACAATCACGTACGATTTGTTGTGCAACGATTCGTCGAGTTGTCACACGTGATTGTATAAACAGGAAACTTCTTTCTATTTCTTTGCTATTATTTTAATGTAGTTCCACCACAGAATTTCAAAATTCAAAATGGTTGATCCAATATGGCGGATCAAAATTTGAAAAAATACTTCGACAATCATCCGCGCGCTACTTCCCATATAGAAATCGCCATAATAATCCAACTATTTTTTCAAAATTTTATTTACTGTATTGGATCTGTTATTTTGAATTTTGAAATTCAGATATCATGTTTATATTCAGCGATCTCGAAAATCTTAGTACAATTATTTTTATTATTTTTCCAACTTTTGATCCGCCATATTGAATCTGCTATTTTAAATTTTGAAATTCAGATATCATATTTGTATTTAGCGGCCTCGAAAACCTTAGTACAATCATTTTTATAAAAATCCAACTATTTTTCTAACTTTTGATCCTCCATATTAGATCTACCATTTTGAATTTTGAGATTCTGATATTTGAATTCAGAAAGCTCGAAATCTGTAAGATATCAAGCTTTTTACAAATCGCTTTTTTAAGATGTACATATATGTACATATATGTGGCACGTGCTTTTTCTGTACACATATACTACATACAGGGTTAAGGACACACTAGTTTTTTTCATAATAGTGAAATAATTCGCTATTGTATCAAATTTAAGGGTCTAATGGCGATATTAAAACGCACAAATGGGAAATCGATTCTAGAACCATTTCCTCCAGGTCATTATGAAGAATACGAAATTTTGAACGATGGCCGAACCAAACTTTTAAGAAACGTCAATTATCATAAACCTGGTGACAAACCTTCCTTTGAAATGTATACTCCTTTGATTGGTAAGTACTTGAAATTATAAGAATGATAAACAGAAAGCATATTGACATTACAGTCTGTCTTTTACAGATTTGGGTTCGAAACACATCCATAGCAATATCCGAAAGTTACTTTCGGCAGCTGTGGAAAAACGACTAATGGGCGATAGACGAATAGGGTGTCTACTGTCGGGTGGGTTGGATTCTAGTTTGGTTGCAGCTTTATTGATGAAGCAAGCAAAAAAACATAATCTACCATACAAAATACAAAGCTTTGCGATAGGTATGGGAGACAGTCCAGATATCATTGCTGCAAAACAGGTAAGTTATACATTTATATTTACACATTTCTGGTTTATCTCACTTTATCAATAATTGTACAACTGGAAATAAACTTAAATCCCTTGCAGGTTGCAGAATATATCGGAACTGAACATCATGAGATTATCTTTACCCAGCAGGATGTAATTGATGTGTTGGATAAAGTTATTTATTCTCTAGAAACATACGACATCACTACTATTCGAGCCTCGATTGGGTAATGCAAATATTGCTTGAACAAGCACCTAATAACATTCAAATTGTTTAATATTACATATCCAAGATATAAAGAAAAATTTATAATTTTTCTTCACTAAGATCCTTATTCTGGACTCTTTTTTTATCAATAAAAATGCCACTAAAAGTGACGTACAAATCTCCTAATTGGCTATAAGTCTTTTAGAAACACTTTTATTAATAAAAGAGAGTTCAGAATAAAGGTCTGAGGAAAATTCTTTCATTTTTTAAATGTTATTTATATTATTTAATGGTATTTTGTATAGTTTAATATTTATATATTACCAACGATAAAATATGTTGTACATTATATTGAATGAATATTTTTCTACAGAATGTACATTCTTTCAAGATATATAAAACAAAATACAGAGACAACTGTGATCTTCAGTGGGGAAGGTGCAGATGAATTAGCACAAGGCTACATCTATTTCAGAGACGCACCTAATGCAGCAGATGCACACAATGAATCTCTTAGACTGTTAAAGGATATTTATCTATATGATGGTTTGAGAGCAGACAGAACGACCAGTGCTTTTAGTTTAGAGCTCAGAGTTCCGTTCTTAGATCTTCAGTTCACCAATTACTATTTGTCGTTGGATCCTATCATTAGACAACCCCAAGGTGAAGCAATGACAACTTAAATAGTATCACAGATACGATAGATGTTACAGATTATATTAATAAGAAACATGAGAGAAAGATTAATATAACAAAAATGAGAAAATCATTATTGTATATTCATAGATGGAATCGAGAAACATTTGTTAAGATCTGCATTTGACAAGATTGATTTACTACCTTTCAATATTCTTTGGAGACATAAAGAAGCTTTTAGTGATGGCGTCGCTTCCATTAAAAAGTCTCTGTTCAAAATAATTCAAGAAATTGTAGAGGATCGTGTGCAGGATGAAGATCTGGAAAAAGCTTGTATTAAATATCCTCACTGCACACCAAAGACAAAAGAAGCGCTCTATTATAGGTGTGTACACTTTATCAAACAAAAGTAATTGTCACATTGATATGTTATATTTCTTTTTTGTTTTAGAGACGTTTTTGAGTCACATTATGGGGGACAAGCAGAAAATTTTACACCTTACTTCTGGATGCCACGCTGGGTAAAAGGTATCACCGATCCATCTGCAAGATTTATCGCTCATTATCAACAATGTTAAACTCTAATAAGAAAATTGGAATGAAATCATCATATATATAGGTTTAGAAATGCATAAAATATATAAAATCAAAATATTAGTGAAAGTAAATAAGAGCCCAAAAGAAATAATCTTTTCGCTGGCATTGTAGTGTACAAAATTTAATTAATCATTTTTATATAATCATAATTAAGTTAAAAAAACGTACGTTTTGGTCACCGGTTTGGACCTTCATCAGTGCAAACGAAGACGGGATTCAATAATAAGAGTATGAAAACTAATCGTAGTATTAAACGCAATATAATTATTCGGTCTGTCTTGTCTTATACGCAATATAATTATTCGGTAATGCAATTATCGCAAAGTGATTTGATTGTGACAAACAGGTAAATAGCGAATAATCTCGACTTGCCTCCAACGTCTATTATCTTAAAGCTGATATAGCGTAAAAAAACAGTTCAAATTAAAATAAGAGAAGTTTTGTCGGAAATGTTGGCTTACTAAGTAAACGCAGAAAGAGAGATATATATACATCATCATATAACATACATATATAACGCAGGATCTACTATATTAAATTATAAATGTTTTGTACATTGGATATTCAGGGATATTTGTGCATATTTATTATAAGTGATATATCTATCACAGGATATTTATAATTTTTATCAAAGCTATATATAATATATTACATATATAGCGTTCGTATTTTATCTTAAAGACGACATTTTGTCTATCACTGTTATTAAAATAAAAAAAAATTAAAAGAGAATGTTAAGTTTTATTTAAGGTGAGATTAAAAATTAAAAGAGAATGTTAAGTTTTATTTAAGGTTTAAAAAAAAAGAGATTATTTGAACTATAAAAAATAATTGATGTACCCCTGGTGGGACTCGAACCCACAATCCCCGGTTTAGGAGACCGATGCCTTATCCATTAGGCCACAGGGGCTGTTGACGAAACAGCTTCACATACTGAACTATATGGCACTTACACCATAAATATTTGATATTTTGCAATTTTATGATTTTCAAATATGCATAGCTAAACTAAAAAATCTATTTGCTTTAACGATATTTTTCTTATTTAAAATGAAATAAATAAATATCCAAATTTGAAAGTGAATAAAAGTAATGAAGTGTAGAGAGTGCAGCTGAAGTGAACACATTTTATGTTCGTCGCTTTCGACAAAGATGGCAACCAACTTGTACTGGGTTGTCAATTAGTAAAATCACTGCTTCCTACGAGATGCATTCCACGGAAACTATTTGAACATTCTCATATTACGCGCGTAATTGATTTGTAACTTGCAGTAAGTATTTATTAGAAGTATACATTTATTTTTCCGCATTGCATTAAGCGCAAATACAAAACTTATTTGACATCTATATGGGAATACATAAGGAAAAAGTTACTGACCTTTCATTTTTTTTTTAACAGATGATATCAACGAGATACCTATCATTCTTGTCTGGAATAATAATAGCTTCTTTAACATGGGCATTCAGTCTATATCTTTATTCGAGATTGTCACAAAACTCCATCACTGCCAGCCCTACAATGTTAGTACCTGGCATTTCTAGTCAAGCGCTCAAAGAATCGTTATTCAGACATGGGGAAATCAGTGAGAAGGATATCATGTTACGCGATAATGTTATCATGTTGCGCAATGAGAAGCAAACAATGATTGGTAAGAAAACCTACAACTTAAAGGGCAATAAAAATTACAAGAACAATGACCTGTTTCTGCAGCAACTACAACCTGTTCCAGTAAAACCTGCAGTTACATCAGATCAAGGTGACACAGTCTTAATGTCCTAAACAACTTGTATTAAACAATTACAATCACTCATATAACTAATTAAACATTTCAACAGGTTTAGATGAATTAGGGATGGTGAAGAATTTGGACGATCAGCAAAAGAGAGACGAGGGATACAAAAATTATTCTTTTAACATTCTGATATCAGACAATCTTGGCGTGTTGAGAGCTGTGCCAGACACGAGACACAAATTGTGTCGAGCACGAAAATATCCCGCTAATTTGCCAAACGCCAGTATAATTATTTGCTTTTATAATGAGCACTACACGACGTTACTGCGATCATTGCATTCCATAATTGAGAGAACCCCAGCGACGCTACTGCACGAGATCATCTTAGTGAATGATTACAGCGACAGCAATATGTTACACGAGAAGATCAAAGTATACATTAAGAACAATTTCGACGTTAGAGTACAATTTTTCAAGACTGACAGGAGAGAAGGTCTAATCAGAGCACGAGTGTTCGGCGCAAGGAAGGCAACCGGCGACGTTTTGATTTTCTTGGACAGCCATATAGAGGTGAATGAAATGTGGATAGAGCCGCTTCTTTCGAGAATCGCCCACTCAAGAACTATCATACCTATGCCGGTAATCGATATCATCAACGCGGACACGTTTCAATATACTGGCAGCCCATTGGTAAGAGGTGGCTTTAACTGGGGTCTTCACTTCAAATGGGACAATTTACCAATTGGAACACTAAAACAAGAAGATGATTTTGTAAAGCCCATCAAGTAAGATTATATCCCTACATGTTTTGATATATCGATGTGTGAACGCATTAGTCATAAATATATTTATGTAAGTAAATTTTTCCTAATTACATGTCTTTTATTAAATGAACAGGTCGCCGACGATGGCTGGAGGATTATTCGCTATCGACAGAGAATATTTTACAAAAATGGGAGAATATGACACCGGTATGGATGTTTGGGGCGGGGAGAATCTTGAGATATCGTTCCGAGTAAGAAACAACTGCTTTCGCTCTGTTCTTTCCTCAAGATTTGTCTTGCCATGCATATTACAATGTTATTAATCTCTTCTTCTTTTCAGATATGGATGTGCGGCGGTAGTATCGAACTCATTCCTTGTTCACGGGTAGGTCATGTCTTCAGAAGACGACGACCATATGGCTCAGACGACCCGCAGGACACCATGTTGAAAAATTCCTTGCGCGTTGCGCATGTATGGATGGACGAGTATAAGGATTATTTTCTGAGAAACGCTAGGAGAATCGATTACGGCGATATCTCGGAACGATTGGCGTTGCGGCATAGATTAAAATGCAAGACTTTCGGTTGGTACTTAAAAGAGGTTTATCCCGAACTAACATTGCCAGATGATACGGAGAGACGGCTGAAGGACAAATGGTCGAAACTTGATCAAAGACCAATGCAGCCTTGGCATTCAAGGAAGAGAAATTATACTGACCAATATCAAATCAGACTTTCAAATTCTGCGCTTTGCATCCAGAGTGAAAAGGATATCAAGACTAAAGGCTCCAGACTTATTTTGATGCCGTGTTTAAGAATTAAGTCACAGGTAGATATATTTGTTCATTATTTTCGGATCGAGTTATGGAAGAAAAGACATTTTATATATTTTAATTCTTTTGAATAATATAAATTATATTCCACAGATGTGGTATGAGACTGATAAAAATGAATTAGTACTTGGCCAAATGCTTTGTCTGGAGGGAGCGGAGAAAACTCCGAAACTTGGAAAGTGTCACGAAATGGGTGGAAGTCAAGACTGGCGTCATAAACGCATCGTAAGACTTTTCGTTGGTGTATTTAATTTTGTCTTTGCATTACAGATCATGAACTCAAATTGAATATTATTTTATTTTCAAAGAAAGAAAGGTCTCAAAATGTTTGACCAATATTAATCCATTAATCTAATGGAACAATTATTTGGGGTGAACAGTAGTAATTTAAAAAAAATTTTTTTTTATAGAATAATACACCCATATACAGCATGGCAGCTGGGACTTGCTTAGGTGCAATGCGTGATGTAAGAAATGCTCAAATTATCATGGACTTATGCACAAAATCGAACACTTCATTGATAACTTGGGATCTTATCCGATCAAAAATTCCATCTAAAGAAATTAGATGACGTCGAAAGAAAGGTCGTAAAAATAGAAAAAAGAACTATGAGGACTGGCTTGGGAGAAAATGGTAGGTCCCTTTGGTAAACTGTATATACTCGACAAATGGTCATAATCAGATGTAGAAAATTTCATACGTCGAGTTTTAAAATAATTATGACAAGAAATAAGTAAGAAAAACTTGACTCTTCAGCAGAGCTTTAAAACAGTTGAAAGTATCGTAATTGTATAAGAAAAACGTTGAATCTCTTTAATACAATGTATATATGCAATGTAGAGAACCTTCGTTTTTATATTTTTATCACTTCTCTACACTATTATATAAATTTATATATAAATTAAAGTTTTATATTTATATTTAATTTAGAAATTATAAAACAATATTATGTGTTATATATATTGTTGTAAAACGTGATAAAATAACAAAGCCTATTAAACAATGTTTAGTAAAACAATTATTTATAAGATATGTTTATATTTATAATTTGATGTTATAAAATCGTTTTTGTAAAATATATTTATTATAAATATTAAAAAGTTGTTTTCTTTAGCATGTATAATATTTTTTACACCTTTGTATCTTACATTATACATGATGGTTTGCTGTTTAGGTATTTAAAAAAAAGAACCAAATTTGGTTCTTTTAACATTTGATTTTCAAATAACGCGACTCACAGTATAATCGATGGATTAGATGGATGGACTTATTTTCAAATGGAACCACGACAAATAAAATATCTTTTTTATTTTTAAATAATAGATTCAACGACAAATAAACTTTCATTTTAAAGTAGTACTAGAGATACAGAGTCTATACTCTTTGACTATATAAGTATGGACTGCCAGTTGGCATTCTCAAGCTGTAATCAACATGAATAACATCTCCAAGTAGCGAATCCCAGTATTTCGATGACATATGTAAACTCATATATAATAGCAAACCTATACCTTTATCAGTTTAATGCTTGATGTTCGTTAATTTTTACATACATGTCGAAGAACTGGACATATTAGAGAATCACAAATATATATTAAATTAATAACATTTTATTTTCAAGTAAAATTATTTTATGTAAAGTAAATGCATTACAATGTCTAAACAGATTTTTTTAGACACAAGTTAACAAAAGTCGTAATTTTTAGCGGGTAATAATATATAATTATAATTACACAAATATTGCATAATTAAATTCAATAATATATATATATATATATATATATATATATATATATATATATATATATATATATATATGTATGTGTGTGTATTATTGAATCTATTATACAATATTTATGTATATTTAATAATACATATATATATTTTTTTTTATACATTTATTGTTGCTTTATTTCACATGTATGTTAAGTTTATACATACATATTTTATTTATACTGCAAATGGTTCTGCACTTTATCAAACGTGATAAAACAGCGCCTATATATTCCATCTCTCTCTTTCTTCCGGTTTTACCATCGAAATCTGACTTCGTGTTTTGATTTTTTGACATTTATCTCTCGGGGACACACGTAATGTTGATTACATAGCAAAGCATTGTGAGAATAGGAAAAGTGGGGGTAACTGGCAGTTCATACTTAAGCCAGCAGCACGTGGTGCTTGTTTTTATGTTGGATTGCTTGCTAGGTGGAAATACTCTGTTTTGATATGAGACTGGCCAATGGAATTCCGATATCATAAACAATAAGAAGAAGAATATTTGATATGTTATATATTATTGGAACAAGATAAAAATAACTAATTTTATATAACGTGAGCATTTTATATAATAATAATATAATTAATATATATATAATAAAATTGAATTTAACAAAATTCACTGCTACGTATGTTACGATTCGCGATCGCTTTTGATCTCACCTTAAAATGTTTGCAACTTGTATAAAAAGTGTACTTGTAGTATATAAAAAGTATACTTGTAGTATAAAAAGTGAAATATTTATATTTGTTTGCTCTGTGAAAGTGTAATTTATTTAATATAAACTAATAATAATAGTGTAGCAGTAGTAATAATAATAACGATAAAACACACGAAATGTATCCCGCGAATCACAAGACCGTATTCGTACTGGATCATACTCCTTACTTCGGAATCTCTAGCGAATGTCCGTTGGAGTTTGACTTTTTAAAAAGCAGAGGTCAAAATTTGACTCCGTTAGCACCGATTTGTAAATCGCTATGGACTACCAGCGTTGAAGCTTCATTGGAGTATTGTCGTATTGTATGGGATCTGTTTCCTACAGGCAAATTGGTATATAAGAATTGACTTTATTAATATCAGATTTATAGTTTTACCATTATTAATGTTAGTATTATCATTGTTACTATTCTTGTAATTTTCTATAGATTAGATTTGTGGCAACAAACCATGCTGTTTATATATTGAACTCATGGAGCCTGTCACAACAGAACTTACAACATGCAAGTATCTTCTTACATTTAATTAACACGTTACAACCAAAACCAGGAATACATTTTCAATTTGTGATGTATTAAGCTAATTCTAGATTTGTTCAATTGAACTACTTTAAGTCTAAAAAATGATTATAAGTCCTTAACCTTCTGCTGACAATGTGAAGTTGTAGAACATATCCAGCAATATGTGTTTGGGGTGGGATCTGACTCCAACATTGTCAGTAGAAGGTTAAGATTAAAATTAGTAATTAGAAGGTTAAGATTAAAATTAGTATAGTATTTATGTACTATATTCACAGTAAAATCTTTTATCTTGTTTAAATAATGATAATATCGATAACTGTATTTGTGACTTTAGCTGTAATTATAGCCAGAATAAATATGTAATTGTTAAAACAAATATCTATATTGATATATGTTCTATAATAAAAAAAAAAATATCTGCTTTATACAGATAAGGAATGCTACCGCAATCTTAGGAGTGCCAACAAAGACACCAGAACCTGGAAAAAACTATTCAATAGTATATGGCTTACATGTGGCAATTAGTATTCTAAATGAATGTTCTCATATACAGCATGAGAAAAGAACATTTTTAAATAAGAACACTACTAATCTAGTGAACAGAGGCAGAATTATATGTATCACTAGTATACGTGACGATAGTAATATGAAGAGCTTGGAGAACATATTCCTAAATAAATTAACACAGAAGAATAAGACTGCATTAGCTTTAAATCAGTCAGTATTTATATAATTATTTCATTAAGGTGTTATACTTTATTATAATATAATGTTATTGCATTTTCTTATCTTGCAGTTTACCCATTGATTACTGTCACCTAGTTATATTAAATATATTTCCCAACAATATTGAGCCACAAATCACTAGCCAAGGTCCACGAGAGGTATGTTTTTAATAACGAATCAATATTCAATTTTATCCGGAATGTGTTACAAAAAAATTGTATATAAGAATTAATATTCTTAATGGAATAATTTTCCTCGTGCAGATCTCACCATTGCTAACAGTAGAAGTGCATTCAATCAAAGCTTCAGCGCTCTACTTCAAGTTATTGCATCTTATTCTATCACATTATAACCTTGCCAGTACTACAGTAACTGGTATACCCATGAAAGAAGAACAAAATGCCAGCTCATCCACCAACTATGACATTGAAATATTCCATTCTTCCGCTGCACACGCTGTGATATTAAGTATGCGCTATTGGCGTTTTATTAAAAAAATAATAACTAAACGTGTGATAAGTGATGTTAACCCTCTGCTGACAACGTGAAGTTGCGGAACATATCCAGCAACGTGTGTTTGGTGTCGGATCTGACCCCAACGTTGTCAGCAGAGAGTTAACAATAAATAATTGTGAAATTTTAAGCGTTGCGTCGCGAGACACTGATAATAGAATCTTCACTTTTTCTTAATAGCAAATCCGCAAGATTCGTTGATAAACACTTTTAGATGTTTCAACGAAGGCTCAGAAGACTACGAGACTGTGACGCTCAAGTGGTGCTGCACACCGCGCGATTGTAGGATATCAGAGATGCAGAATTTCACAGCGATGTATCGGATTACACCTGTGGACGTCAATAGCAGGCCGTCTTCGTGTTTAATTAATTTTCTTCTAAATGATAGATTAGTGATGCTTGAAATGACCAAGAAGACTGGTGAGAAGACCATATCTCATTTGTTAGCAGCACACGGTGGCGAAATCTTCATTCATACTCTGTCCACTGCTAAGAGTGTACTTGAAGATCCACCTTTCATAAAAGAGGGTTGCGGTGGCCGTGTGACTAATTATAGAATAACCGTAAGACGCTTTTCATAATCATTTACCGGGAAATTACAAAAATTACTTTGTTAAAGGAAATATTAGGTTGGTACGAATAACTTGGCATTTTTCTAACTTGGCATTTTCCTGTTAAATTTTTGTAAAAGAATTTGGATATTTGAAGAGCAAAATAGTAAGTTCTCGTTAGATATTTAGAAAAGTAGTCCACGCTGTTTATTTTATTTGTAACAATTATTAATCCCGTGAAATCAACTATAATTTCTTTTTCTATTTTATTTGATAAACGTGACAAACTTTTTGCACCAACTTAATATATTAAAATTACTTACATTTTCTTTCAGTATTGTATACGATACAGTATTGTATACGATACAATTTTCTCAGTTCGAGAATATTTTTCTTTGTCCCAGGATTTCGGCAATTTCATGCGAAGCAACATGCTAGTACCACTTTCCACTGAAAATATGAATGGTCCGGTGGAAAAGATGAGATCTAGACTAGAACGCTACACCAAATATTGGCCCATTACTATTTCCAGCACCATCATGTTAAACATAAAGCAGGTTTATATTCGGACAATTCTAAGTTATATTATTGAATATATATACTATTAATAAGAAAAAAAATATATATGTTAATTAGAACTCTAAAATTTTATTTTTTATCATGTTTCTTGTGCGCACGATTTCTGACATAATTTTTTACTTTTCATAGCAATGCATAGATCCTCTACTGGAGTTTATGGTGAAGGAGAAGCTCACTGCGGAAGAGGTGCTGCAGTGTAAGCAAGTTTTATTTAGTTTGCTACAATCGGAAGCGAAGCATGAGTCATTACCTTTGTCGAACATTGGTCGTGATGGAAAGGGCATAAAAAGAGAAGAACAGTATCGCCTATTATGGGAAGAGATGGAAATTTTCTTGAAATATCACGCGAATAATTCGGCCGCACATATGGAAATACTCGAATGTCTACTAGATATTAGAAGTAAAGTTAAAAATAAAATGGAGTTGGACCAAATCTTGCGAGAACTCGACAGGTAACTAAATGATTATATATTAGGTTATCCGATAAGTTCGTAGAAATCTTTTATTTTCTTTTTACTTCTTCGCGATAGCAGATCATTGAAAAGAGGAAAAAATGAAGCAAAGTTGTGCCCGACTATAAGAGTGTCAGCTTTGGGTTTTCCGTAAAAATCCGTACGAACTTGTCGAACAGCACAATAGATTTAGACGTTTAAGAATCTGAGGATCTAAAAATTAATTCGTTACAGTTTTGGAAAAGAAGATGGAGTCGCAGGGCGAGTAAATGTAATCAGAGCGACGACGGACTCGCCGCCGGCGAGCACGATGCTATCGCGCAAAAGCAAGAGCTTATTGGACATCTGGATGGAACGTAGCGCGTCGAAGAACCCAAGGATGGAACTCAACGGCAGACTCAACAGCGACGGTCTCAAAACAGAGTTGTATCGTAATTTGAAAAAAACCGGCAAAGAACCCATTTTGGAGTGTTAATTCCCCAACAGGGGGAAATGTCTAGCTAAGTGACGAAACGATATATAATACGCAACGTACCGCATTGTAAATATAAGCGATTTTCCATCGGTGGTACTTGCGGATTTATTGAACCAGGATTGTTGATTAAAGTCGTTGTATATAGATCAACTAATATTTACGTTGAAACGAACATCCCGCGATACAACAAATATGTACGTTCCTACTTTTCTCACTCTATTACGTAAAATATTTATATTTTCAAGTTTATAATACACTCTTTATGACAAAATTATAAGTACAAATATTTCATGATGGTCTTAATTTTGTGATAAAGGGCATAAATTTGCAGGATCATGTAGTCTTTCATGCTCTATGTAGAGAAAATTTTCAGAATTTGACTAGAACGAAAAATTGGATTTAGTTTCGTTTCAAAAATGTAAAAGAGAAATTTGGAGATACAATTATTCAATTCGAATCAGTATCAATATAGATCACCTCGATGTCGAGACGAAGGCACATCTGCGTGCAAGAATACATGGGACGCAAGCAGAATGAAAGTAGTACATTATTCTTACCATCTCCCTGCGTCGTCCTGCCGGTCACTTTTCCTCATTACTCCGTTACTTTATAGCCGACCACAGATGTCTATACTAAACTAGATTGCTAACAGGCTATCTAAAAAGCGTATAACTGTTTGTGTTCAATAGTTTCCAGTGTATACGAGAAAATGGCCGCTACCGCCATACATTTTCACTATTTTGTCATAAAATTCTTTTGTTGAAAATAAGCAGAGCAAATAACATCTAATACCATCTAATATCATCTATTTTTTTGTTACGACATTTTTTGATGCAATAAGATGCTGGCACATTTTTGGTTTTACGACAATAATTTAATGGCCACTCTGATTCATAAGTACTCACATAAGTGACACGTCACGCACACATAGCTGCGTTCGGCATTGTAAATCGAAGATGTCGGATTATTCTTTTACCTCGAAAATGCATAAAAGTGAGAGAGATACGAGATCTTGTATCTTTTTCATTTCTATGCAACTTCGAGATGAAAGAGCAATCCGACGTCTCCGATTTACAATGCCGAACGCAGCTATTGTCACAGAACCGCCGCCATTTTTTTGCATGCAACCGGAAACCTTACGCGACACACATTCGAAGCCCTTATTAGCAATCTCTAGTTTAGTATAGACATCTGTGGTTGATACCGATTTTCACGCTGTTCGATGCGCTATCTGCACCCTTTTTTGAGGTGGAACTACATTCTCTACGCCCATTTTCAGATGCTGCCGGTAAAGTGTCGATTTGTGTGTTGCATGTTCATTCTACATCCATTTTGTGGCAATTCGTGTCCGTAGGTGTTTTCCAGTTGCGTACACTCCGTTACACAAAACCAGTTTATTGGTTGCATATTATCTTACAAGATATTTTACATAATATGTAACCAATAAATTGATTTTGTGTACGTGTGTGCCAAGATGTGTTAAGCAATTGGAAAGCACCACGTGCTAAGCCCATAATTGCGTAGTTAAGATCATGGACTGTCCATATTTAAATAGTTCAGCTTAAAAGAACAGACCTTCGGCCTAGGCGCGTGAGTCGGGTAACTTTTGGTGCGTTCGCTTTGGGCGTTTACGCGCTTAAGAGTCATTCTATCTTTATCGCTCATTACTTGCGGAAAAAAGATAGAATGTTGCTTAGTGCCCAGAGCGAACGCACCTGAGTAGCACTGCTTCGGCATTTGACAGAACGGCGGTTCAGAGAAAGTTGCATCTATTTACTAACAAAACTTACCTAATAACGAAGAAGCAACGAGAAGAAACGTGAAAATGACAACTTCGAAGGAATTAAATTTAGCTAGAAAGAGTCTTGTAGCATCGCTTGGTGATAATGCAAAAGTGTGAGTTCTTTAAAGAATAAAATATTTTGACTGTTATATCATAAAGGTTATAACCTAACCTATAGATCTATATGTTAACATAATTATAACTTCATAATTTGTTGAGAGAAAGAATTATATGTAAGTCCCTATTTTTATGATTATATTTTCTTGACAGATACTTTGAGAAAATGAAGCTGTGGTTCCAGATGAAGGTACATGATTTGTTTGACTAGATCGTGTTAGTGTAAGCATGTATATTATTCACATTAAACTGTTAAACTTGTTTTAGACGACAAAGGAAGAATTTGACTTCGAAGCACGTAATATCATGACAGAGGATCAAGTTCGTTTACATAATGAATTCCTGTTGTGTCTCTTTAATAAAGTTCGTGGATTAGCAGCTGCTGCGCCAACTTATAAGATAGACAGAGATAAAAATTTGAAGGAGAGAAGACTGCGATTGAAACGCAAATACAAGACTGATAAATCAAATTTTGAGGTATATAGACATTGGCTGCGTGCAGAGAAAGCTGCTTTGCAACTGTTATAAAATTTGTGAATTTGATTGAAGTATGCTCTTAATTTTGGTTGAATCCAAGAGCATGTACTAATCAGATTCATGAATTTTACAATAGTTGCAAAGCAGCTTTCTCTGTTGAACGCAGCCATAGATACCATAACATTATAGCAGTAATATAATAAAATTATACTAAACTATCTATATTTTTTCTTAATGACAGCCAGCTGATATGTATGTGGAAGTATTGAGTCAAACCTCATCGCCTATCAGAGACGAGCCTATAGGTGCCAATCGTTCTAGTGCTCAAGAACTTGTATTACCAGATCGAACTTTTGTACTAGCTCGACTAATGCTTGCTGCATGGGAAAATAATATGGACGGCGCTGAAGATAATACAGCACACATTGTTATAGCAGCAACACAAATTTTCCTGAAAAACATACTTACTGCAATCTTCACGCGTAGGAAAGGATATGCTACTCGAGATGGCTCTTTTATTTACAATATTGGAGAACCAGTGCCTAGTTCATGGAAAAGGAACTCCATGTATATAAATCCATTGCACTCTGAGTAAGTTGCAAGTGATAGTTTCTTTTATATTGTACAATGGTTGATGAATTTTAATTTTTCAACATAGGCCAACAGAAGTATTAGAACCTCATGGCCAAATTCCAACAGCAAAACCAACCATTGAGGAAGCCGAACAAGCTATTGCTTTTGTACATGCATGTTCCGTGCAAACCACTCTTCCGCCATTGAAGCCAGTTAGCATGGCTGATTTGCAACATACATTAAGGGTAAAAATAAGAAAATACGGTTTTGTTAGATTCATGTTTTAACTCTAATCTTATTCTCTTCAGATTTATAAAAATCTTGTGAGTAATCACACTATATATGCTACTAATATGGAACGACTGTATACGTATGCCACTCATCCAACGTGGGACGATTTGGAGGCAAAGAGAATGTTATGTCAACCTTCAACGTAATTATATGTCTTACTAACGCAAACAATTCATAAAAGTTTAAGATTACATGCGTTTTGTGTCTGTGGTTTATTAATGACTTTTTATTTTAATTACTCGCTGTCGTATTTAATCTCGTTTTATAGTGTGGGATAAGTAATATATTAAGTATACAACACACGTATATACGTATATATTCTTTTTATTTTATTAAAAATCGAAATATATTTTTAAATTTTTATTTAAGCGTCAGCATTATACAGGGTGTTCAAAAAGTCCCGGACCGGTGAAATATCTCGAAAACTAAGCATTTTAGAAAAAAATGTTTCAGATAAAAGTTGTGGCGTTTAAAAAGATGTTTTTACTGATCACATCAGTTTGACCTTGGGTTGCGTAGCGAAGGTCAGGTCAAGGTCACATTAATTTTTTTAAATGGAACACCCCATTTTTCATTGCATATTCTTATAGCACA